ATTTAAGAAAATCAAAATAAAAATTATTAAACTGCAGCATTTTGCCTTAAGGCCAGATAATAATTCCGATAATAATTTTAATCAACAAAAATTAATTTTCAGCTATTTGGGTAAAATGTTCAACTGTTCTTTTCGAAATTATAATCTTTGTTTTAATTAAAAAATAATCAATACGATATCCAATTTGTGTTTTAGATTTATAGATTCTGATTAGAATCCTTTAATCTAAACTTTGACGATTATTTATAATTTAACCGCTTATCGTTCGTAGGCCTATATATTTTTGCATGAAATTTCAGACTACAAAATCTATCGTTATATAAAGTTTCATCAAAATCGCCAGAAAAAATTCAACAAATAATAATTTGGCCATGTAGATCTTTACCAAACGATAATCCAATGATATGTTTCAAACAGTTCTTGAATTTTCCAAATCGAATCAAGATTTTTTGCAAAAACATAAACAAATGATTTAGTACTTTTCTGCTAAAAGTCAAGTTCTTTTTCCACATCGACTGGCTTTTAAATTTTTGAAATCGTCTAATATAAATGATTAGTGAAACAACATTTTACCTTTCAGATATTTTTATTAACAAAACATTGAATATATGCATAAAATGAAAAGTCTGATAAAATCATATTGATATGTACAAAATAAAATTTTATATCCAGCCTAAATATCACAATTTACATGTCACAAAAGTATCTTAAATAATATAATAGACTTTTATCAACTAATACTATCGGCAGACAATTTCAAATCATCGCCTCGTCAATCACATTTAATTTTAAACAATACATGATAAAAAATTGTTTAGATAAATATTGTTTATAAATTTTGGAAATACTGTATGTATATATTCTAATCTAAGAAAATACTATTTACTGAGTTATTTGGATCGTATTGGACCTGTATTTTTGTGCTTAATATCATATATTTAATTTTAACACGTTATTCGCCATGTCAGTCATATGCGTCTGACGCTAAAAAGTTCTACATGAGTTATGTCAGACATACACGATTTCAGTTTTGGACAAGTCAGTCAAATATGTGCGACATAACAAATAATTTTTTCCAGGAATTTTGGTAAAAACAAATTTTCTTCGATACATTCTGTTTCTTTGATACATTTTTAACTAATTTATCTAATAAAGTGACCAAAACCCACAAAGAAATATTTCTGAAATATTCGTGGCGATTAACGTGTTAAGAACATTTCAAAAGAATATTCGAGATATTCAATTCTTACAAGAATCACATATGTTCTAATTTCAGATTCGTCAAAATTTTGATGAATTTGATGAAGTTTGAATTAATTGATGAATGTGATAGTTGTAACTTCTTTTATTTAAAAAAAACAATTTATTATATATATATCAAATATAAAAAAACTGAATATATAGTTTTTTCAACGATAAAACAAATTTGTATTGAATAGACGACCAATACTTCGAACTGAAAAAAGAAATTAATATTCTTAAACAATTATTAATTTAATTAATCATTTATACGTTTAAGAATAAATTATTTCATTCAGCTATATCTTCAATGTCAGTTTTTTTATTTAAAAACAAAAAATCTCTTTATAAGGTTGTGTTTCTACGATTTCTATAATTTGAGTCCCTTCCATTTGTTTATGCTATTTTTTGTTACTCAATTTATTCTTGTTTTATATTATTTTAGCTGAATAGTGGCACATATCAAGTGTCGAAACGTATAATTAAATAATTGTCTATATTTTTTTCATATTAGATACGAGTATATTGGTCTATCTATATAAATAATACAAATATGTATATAATGATGTATGTGACCCACCTCTTAATTTGTAGAAGTAAGTAGATGTGGATTGCGCCTTGGTATGAAAATGGTGATGACTGCACACGCTGAAATAAATAATAATCTTATATATAAAAATGGAGCTCTCTTTCAAATGTCCGAATAAAACTCGAAAACGGCTGAATCGATTTGGCCAGTCTTAGTCTTGAAAAATTCGTGCCAATCCAGAGAATGTCCAAAAGGTGAGAAATTATTTCAAATCCGTGTAGAAACTTTACATTTATAATTTGAAAATTTTTGTAGAAGCGTAATTTAAATAGAACAATGGACGGTGGCAATTTCGTGAAATGTCAAACGCTTTTGACAGATGATGTTCAATTACGTTTAATAGGATGTTTTACGCGAATATTATTTATTTGTGATAAATTTGTAGTAAGTAGTTTTGTTTGTAGTTTTATTTATATACAAAAACGTTAGTAAACGGGCCCCAAGTGTTACTAGAGACTCAAAATATAAACTTTTTCGATATGTTAATATGAAAATGCATTTTTGGCATATTTTTCTCAAACACGGTGCTCTGAAAGATCTTATTTGTATAATTATATGCTCATTGGTATTTATAAAACATTTTCTAGGTTGTTATATTATTTTTTATTTATGTTATTTAAATTCAGAACCTAAATTTGGTATCGATCAAATGGACCTTTTGTCGAATAACATTTTTCCAGTTATAATTTTCCAGAATTTATCGCAGAATAGATTATCCGGAATTCGGATTATCCGGAATTCGGATTATCCGGAATTCGGATTATCCGGAATTCCGATTATCCGGAATTCCGATTATCCGAAATTCCGATTATCCGGAATTCCGATTATCCGGAATTTCGATTATCCGGAATTCGGATTATCCGGAATTCGGATTATCCGGAATTCGGATTATCCGGAATTCGGATTATCCGGAATTCCGATTATCCGGAATTCGGATTTTCCGGAATTCCGATTATCCGGAATTCCGATTATCCGGAATTCCGATCATCCGGAATTCGGATTATCCGGAATTCGGATTATCCGGAATTCGGATTATCCGGAATTTGGATTATCCGGACTTCGGATTATCCGGACTTCGGATTATCCTGACTTCGGATTATCCGGACTTCGGATTATCCGGACTTCGGATTATCCGGACTTCGGATTATCCGGACTTCGGATTATCCGGACTTCGGATTATCCGGACTTCGGATTATCCGGACTTCGGATTATCCGGACTTCGGATTATCCGGAACCAATGGGGTTTATTGTTTTTATAATACTTCATTGTATATAGCATTCAAACAACACATCCTTATACACTTAAGGTATTAATATTTTTGATTCTCTAGAAATTGTCTAGAATATACCTTATTTAGCAAAACAACGTTTGCCGGGTCAGCTAGTATATAATAAATGTAATAACTAGCTGTAAGTGGAATTCTGTCTTAAGGCAATTAGGGCATCGTGCCTTAAGGCAAATTGCTGGAACTTCCCGTACCAAAAATTATTATTTTTTTAAAAACGATTAACATTTTTGAAAAAAAATTAATTAAAAAAAAATAAGATTTCTGAGAAACTATAAATTTGACAAAAAATTACTTTTTTTTGAAAAAAAAAATTTATATGAAAAAAAAATTTTTTTTTGAAAAAAAAATTTTTTTTTGGATACAAAAAATTTTTTTGAAAAAAATGTTTTCTTCATTTTGACATATTTTGGAAATTCTGAACTTTTTTTCAAAGCAATCGCACTGCTTGAACTGCATAGAGACGAAATGTCAAAGCGCGCATGTGCCGCGCCGCCGTCTAACGCATAAGCATTGGTACGGAACCCATAAAAATGTAAAAAAAAAATATACTTATTGTTAAAATCTCTATAAAATATCTGATAATTTGATGTGCATATGTCTAATGATAATTTTTAACCGCCGAATGGCATTATTTTTTACTTTTTTCATTAGATCTCCGAAACCGCTAGACCTGCCTCCATGAAAATTTGATCAATGCTACATCTTGTCAATACAAGTAAAATGTTTTTTGAATTATTCAAATCGGACGCTCCGTTCTCTTAAAAACGGAGGTACCGTTCTTGGCACTTTTTGCCCCGTATCTTCGGAACGGCTAGACCTGCCTTTGCCAAAAACTAATCAGCACGTCTCCTTATCAATACGAATCGAATGTTTTTTGAATTATTCAAATCGGTTGATCCGTGTTCCCAAAATCGTCGACGAAAATTTGTATCCGCACATACATACACACACATACATACATACATACATACATACACACACACACACACACACACACACACATACATCCATTTTTTCTAAGGTATGCCAAAATGTTCAGAAGGTTTTGAAACGTCGAGAAATGCAAAAATTTTCATTTTCGATTTTTTTGCGATTACTATAACTTACCCTACGGGAAGTTAATAAAAATCAATACAGTTGGGAATGTGATCAATATACTAGTGTTGTAATAAAAATAGTCAAATGTAAATTTATATTGTTCGTGGATCTATGGTAAGAGAATCCGTCTTGCAACCACAGAGTTTCAAGTTCAATGCCGGACAGCTTGATATCAAGCAGTGGTTATATTTGTATTCGCTGCAAAATACAAATATAAATCAAAGAAATAAATTAAAAATGTGTATATATATGAAATTACCTCCAATTTCATTACGAAATACTGACACATTAAAAGGCAAACACATATTTCCTGGTAAAGTGGCATCCAAAATGCCTTCCCATGGTACTGCCTTTTGTGGTGGCTAATAAAATTGTAAAAATAATTTTACATCATAATAAAACATTTATATAAATAACATAAAGTAAAAAATGACTTACCCTAAATCTAAGTTCTCCTAAAGGAGGTTTAGCATAAGGGATACCCGTAAAACTATAATATTCCTTTCCATTGACATTGATCAAAACTTGACCAACTAATTCTCCTTGTGGCAGTATTATTGTCGGTGAATCACATTTTATATAACAAACATTACTTACAAAAAGCAAAATTGCAACAAATTTATTGAACATGTTTTAGACGTTATTTTGGCACCAACTGAAATACTTAAGAGATGATCAAATTGTGATAGAAATATAAAAAAGTGATTATTCGTGAAATTTGATTATTGGAGTTCACAAAGTTCAATGTAATTTTTTGTGATTTTTCTATAACAAAAATAAAAATATTAGACCACAAAATGCATATATTCATTATTATTGAATTAGTTAATATAAATAATTTTAGCAATAAATAAACCAATATTAAAAAAATGTAATAATTATAAAATTACACTTTACATAATATTATAATTAATTTACAAGTCAATCAAACATTTAGATATGATTAAATTTTCAAAAAATTCAAATTCCAAACAAATACTTTTTTATTAGTAGACGTTGGTTTTGTAAGGAATTAAATTTACTAAAAAGGCAACAAAGAATTGTGAATGATTATTAATATTCCTATACTATTGTTATGTAAATTATTGTTGGTATAAGTAATTTAATTATTTTATTTTTTTCCAAAATTGCATACGACTTTTTAGTGGGTCAGTACTCAGATTTAAATCGGTGTCAATTAGAAGAAAATTCATTTTTTCTTTGGATGCAGGTTCCCATTTTATTGGAAGTGTATCCGTAATAGTAGGTGTAGGATTTCTAAAATTATAGAAATTAATTAGTATTTCTTAGTTTTCTCGTAATTTCATAGAAATGTTAATATAAAGTAATAAATCAGCTCTGAAACCATTAAGTGCAATATATTTATAAATTAAAAAAATAGTTTGTAAAAATAAATTCTCGAGTATTTACCTTCTCTCTTGTAAACAAGACCAAATATGGAAAAAAATATTATGAGATTTTATTTTATGACTACATTGTGAATAAATATTTCAAACTAAATAAAAACTTGAAATAAATAAATGTGAAAAATTAAATTTTCATATGCATACTTATTGTATGCTATTAGGGATATAATAATGATATTAAATTATTTTATTTCAAAATCTAAATGCATCGTCATTTAAGAAATGATTAAAGTTATTTCCTAAAGTATTTGATTTATTGCTCATGTGGCATTTGTGAAACTATTGGTAATTTCTAATATAATATAAATATCATATCATTTTACATACCCAAATTTGGTAAAATTAGTCCACATCTCCAGCATCCTTCTCTGAACCAACACAGCATTTGGTGTTTCCTTCCCAAAATTTGCACTTTTGGCTTTAAATATATTACCCAATTCATCAGCATGACCACCGCCTTTTATTCCAAAATCACCAAAAACTTTCCGACTTGGAGAATTTTCATCAAAATTATAAACATAATAAAAAACTGGTTCTTCCTGATTTTTAACAGTTAACTTTACTTGCTCATCAATTCCACGTGTAAACCAATTATCACTTAAAACATCTACAAAATTCTGCATATTTTCTGATATGGTTTTGTTTTGGAAATAAAATTCCCTGATTGCTTCACCCAGTGCAATAGATTTTTGTGATCGCAAAGGTAATTCTAAGTCAGTTGGTATAAATCTTTCAAAATCAGCTTCAAATTTATTTAATAAATCTGGATCTGTTTTTAAGTACATGAAAAATAGATTGCCTTCGGCACTGTTGTAACCTGTCAACAATGGAACTTTGTGGAATTTTCCTGAATTTATTATTGATATTGGCAAGTCAGTTAAGTACGAATCTTGTTCTGGAAATGTTTTTTCAATCGAAGGTACAAACACGAAGTCATCCAGCAGTTGACCATCAATTTCTTGGGGTAATTTGGTATTTAACAATGTTTCTACTGGTAGGTTTTTCAAAAAATCCAAGGCTTCTTGAGGGTTGTTTGTGGTAAGGCCTAAGGTTTTGCATAGTCGAAGTGCATTCTGAAAAGTAGAAATTATTGAAACTGAAAGTAATACCATTCAATAATAGTTGACAATAGGACTAATTTTTTATATACCTTAACAGGATTTTTTTGGAAAGCCCAGGGATTAAAAGCACTTCCACTTTGTGCTATAGCCTTGTGGAATAAACCTTTGGTAAGTTGTGACAAAATGTGATAATGTACACTTGCAGCTCCAGCAGTTGCTCCACAAATTGTAATATTTTTTGGGTCTCCACTAAAGGTTGCAATATTTTCATTTACCCATTTTAGGGCTGCAACCTTCAAAAAAATAATTGACATTGATATTTTGTATACGATCAAATAATTCTAGAGGATAAAATATCATTCATTTTCTCTGATGATAGATAATAACTGGTCTTCGAAAAGTACCAAAAACAACTTTTTATTACAATTCTATTCTTACTTGATCCATCAATCCAACATTCCCAGGCGCATCTTCGATTTCCAAATTAAGAAAACCAAGTGGTCCTAGACGATAATTAATAGTTACTAAGATAATATCATATTCTATTAAATAATCAGGACCATGTATATCAGAATTTCCTGATCCGACCACAAATGCTCCTCCATGAATCCAAAACATTACTGGCAAAGGATTTTCTGAAGTGTTTTGTGGGACATAGATATTTAAGTAAAGGCAATCTTCGCAACCTGGTAAAAAACAGTAATAATTCATAAACATACATACATACTTTGTTTCTATTTTAATTTTTTACTAATTATTACCCCCAGCTGATTTCAAAAACCATTTCCCAGCAGCACAATTATTTCCATACTGAGTGGCGTCAAAAACACCATTCCAAGGATCAAGTTTTTGTGGTGGCTAAAATATATTAATATTAATTTTATTATAATACCAACATAATACTTTTGTTAAAATTTATTATACCTTGAATCTGAGATCATTTACAGGAGATTTTGCATAGGGTATACCTGTGTAACTATAGTAAATTTTACCATTTTCGTTTACAACTTTCTTGCCTTTCAGAATTCCATATGTTGTTGTTTTTAGTAATGGATCACACATTATAAAATGTTATTATATATCCAAAATATAATATGGTTTAATTTTATACTAGCTCAAAAATAATGTAAATCATAGCCAAAACACACACTCATAAACATAAATAAAAATTTCTTTTCGATCATAAAAAAAATATTTTTTTATAAATAAAACTATATATATTTAAATTAAAATTAGATTAAAATAAAAATTAAATACATTTATATCAAATAAAATTATTTACACTGTGAATTACTGTTGTTCATTTGACATATCAATATCAAATACAACAGCAAAAACAATTCTCTAGATTGAGTTTTCCTTATCAAATACATAGTAATTATATTAGATAAAAAGTGTAATATTTTTAATGTAATATTCGGTAATTATATATGCTGGGAATGGTATGTATATATCCATAAAATTTAATGTATTAAATTTTTTGCTAGTTACATGATAATAGTATTATTAAAATTAATTTAATTTTAAGTTACATGCAGTAAGTTTTAAGTTAGAAATTTGTTAAAAATTAATACATATCTGAGTCAGAAATATTTTTGACTTATTTATACAAACCAAGAAAAAAATTTGGGTGAGGTATTCAATAAAATTTCGGTTTCAAATAATACAAAGTTTTTATATTATAGATCCCCAGATTCTATTTGTGCCTCAACATTTTCCCAAAATTCCATTCGTTCTTGTTCAGGATAAACACCCATAGAAAATGTTTCATTTATCGACAAATAGTTCAAAGATTCACTTGTGGCTGGTAACCATTTTACTGGTAAAATATCCGTAACTTCGGGAGTTGGATCACTAAAAAATAAACCAAAATTGAATAAAACTTATAAGAAAGTTTGGTAATTGTGTAAATCTAGACAGCCAAATGAGTAAACCAACAAATTGTTATTGCTAAAATAAATTTGCGAAAATGGTGACCTCAACGTGATACCAATTTGGTAACTTCTGTTCAATGTTTCCGTTAGTATAATAAAATGTTTTATTTACTTACCCAAATTTAATAAAGTTGGTCCACATTTCCAAAACTCTTTGTTGATTCAAAACGACACTTGGAATATCAGTCGCCAAATCCATCCAAGTTCCACTCAAAAAATTTGCCAACTCGTCACCATGAGCGGCTCTAGTTTGATTAAAATCACCATAAATTCCATAAGTCGGTGGAGCAACAGCAAAATAATATTCAAAATAATAAACTGGTTCAGTAGAATTTTCCAAAGTCAACTTAACATGTTTATCTACACCTCTTAAAATCCAGTTATCACCCATAATATCTACAAAACCGTGGAGATCTTCTGGAACAGTTTTGTTTTGGAAGTAAAAGTCTCTCATTTGATCAGAAAGATTTTGGGCTTCTGTTGTATTTAACTCAATGTTTAAGTCGTGTGGTATAAATTGTTGGAAATCAGCTTCAAATTCTTCAAGTAAATCAGGGTTGAAGTTTATGTACATGAAAAACATGATTCCTTCGCCGTTGTTGAATCCGGTCAACAGAGGAACTTTGTTGAAATTTTCTAAGAAGAAATAAAATTATGTATTTGTTGGTAAAATATAAAGCTTAAAGTTAAGCTTTTTTGTTATTTTAGAAAGAAGTTTTAGACAAAATATATGACTGACACTACATATATAAAAGCCCTCACCAAATGATCACGTGGTCTTAAAACTGGATGGTGAAAAAAATACATTACTCCTATTTTTTCAATTTTTTTATTATAATCAACAAGAAGTAAATATAATATATGTAATATTTTTAATAACTACAAATAATATTTCCACAAAAATGATAATTACTTACCTGACTCCATTCTAGAGAGTGGCGATTCCGGCAAAAACGGTTCATGAGTAGGAAATACCTTTTCAACAGTAGGGACAAAAATGTAATTTTCTATTAATTGTCCTGGTACTTCTCGAGGCATTTGCACCGAATATAAATCGTCCACAGGAGCATTTTTTAAATATTGCAAAGCTTCTTCAGGATCTGTTGTATTGTAGCCGATTCCTGCAGTCAATTGGAATGCTCGCTAAAAATAAGAAAAAATTGAAGAAAATCTTATTGGTAAATGATAAATGTTGTACGTGATAATACTATCATATATTACAATATGAGTAAAGATAAACACATATCTTGAAAAAAAAAGTAAAGAAGAACGCGATTCTCTAAAGTTTATTGACTTCTATTTTTTGCGTAACAATATTAGCAGTTGAAATTTGCAACAAACTAGTAAAGTGCTCTATTTGGAATTTATTTAAAATAATTATTATTAACTTTCCGTAAGGCAAGTTATAGTAATTGCAAAAAAATCGAAAATGAAATTTTTTATATATCTTTACGTTTTAAAACTTTCAAAGTTTTCTGAACTGAAAAACATTCGATTCGTATTGATAAGGAAACGTGCTGATTAGTTTTTAGCGAAGGCAGGTCTAGCCGTTCTGAAGATATGGGGCAAAAAGTGCCCAAAACGGTAACTCAGTTTTTAAGAGAACGGAGCGTTCAATTTGAATAATTCAAAAAACATTATACTTGTATTAACAAGATAAAAAACTGATCAAATTTTCATGAAGGCAGGTCTAGCGGTTTCGGAAATCTAATAAAAAAGTGAAAAAAAATGCCATTTGGCGGTCAAAAATTATCATTAGACATATGCACATCAAATTATCAGATATTTTATAGAGATTTTAACAATAAGTATAAATTTTGTTTACATTCTTATGGGTTCCGTACCAATGTTTATCCGTTAGACGGTGACGCGGCGCTTACGCGCTTCGATATGCAGTTTAGCAGTACGATTGCTTTGAAAAAAAGTTCAGAATTTCCAAAATATTTCAAAATAAATTTTTCTTCAAAAAGTCTTTTTTCTTCAAAAGAAAGTAAATTTTTGTCAAAAATTGATAGTTTCTCAAAAATCTAATTTTTTCAGAGTAATTTTTTTTCAAAAATGTTGATCTTTTTAAAAAAAAAAATTTTTGGTACGGGAAGTTCCAGCAATTTGCCTTAAGGCACGATGCCATACACAACTAGTTTATAATATAAATCAATTCTAAACCTCCATATGATATTCTTGAAACGCCCATGGATTCAGAGCACTTCCACCTTCAACAATAGCCCTTTGAAAAAGACCAGATGTCATATCTGACAACATTAAATAATGTGCACTTGCTGCACCTCCAATTGTTATTCTTGATGGATCACCTCCAAAATATTCGATATTATCATTTACCCATTTCAATGCCATAACCTGCAATGAAAATCAAATATCATAGTTCAAAAAATATTTCAAAATCGTCCACAAAAGCAATTAATTTTAAACCTATCAAAGAATTCGGATGATAAAATTTATTACTATTGATAATTTTAATTTTATAGATTTCTTTCATAGTTTTACTACCTGGTCCATCAAACCCATATTTCCAGGACAATCAGCTAATTCCAAGTTCAAAAATCCGAGTGGTCCCAACCGATAATTAAAAGTCACAAAAATTACATCGTAATCCATCAAATACTCAGGACCATTTTTATCAGCATTTCCAGACATATAAATAAATCCTCCGGAGTAAATCCAGAAAAATACTGGAAGTGGTTCATCCGATGATGTTTCTGGGACGTATATGTTTAGGAATAAACAATCCTCTTCTCCTAAATAAAAGTATAAGAAATAGTAATATTTAGTTGAATATCAATTTGAGTTACTCTTGTGATTGGATGTTAATTACCTTGTATTTCTCCTGTGAATATATTTGCTCCTTTGCAAATATTTCCTTCAATAGTTGCATTGTAGATACCTTCCCAAGGTTCTGCAGGTTGTGTAGGCTGCAAAAGTAAAAATAAAACTTTTATTTTTGAGTTTTGAGTATGTTATTGCCTATTCATTTTTTTATATTTTAATGGAAGATACTTTATGTAAATTTGCAACAAAATTTGATTCCTTTTCAATTGCAATAAAATGTCAAATATGCTTTTCAAATTCCAATATTTTCCAAAAGGCTGCCTATTACAAGTTAGATAGTAAATGACATAAACCTGAATAAAACCCAATGAAAAAAAATCATTCATTATAAATTATATATGTATATACTTATTTACATTTAGATTTTTTTACTAAATACTATTATTACCTTAAATTTTAAATCTCCAAGTGGCGGTTTAGCATAAGGTACACCTCGATATCCAGTAAAATTTTTGCCATTTTCATTTGTCAACTCGATGCCTTCTAAAGTTCCTTGGGGAATAGTTACTAATTTTTGACATAAAACATAAATTTCCAAATGCAATAAAATTAAAACTACACAAAAAAGAAATTTTGAGATCATTTTGTAAACTATCTAGATCTAAACCTAAAAGACTACTACCCAGATTTAAACATAAAATTTTAAATGCATACTTTTTTATAGTTGAAGGAAGCTATTTATGTGCATGGAAAATTTTTGTACAAAACGTGAGAAATTTACTTCGATAATTTTTTTATAAATTAGTGTTGTTTACGAATTCCATCACGTTGTATGTGCATTTTCTGAAAACTACATATATAAGTACATGATGATATAAATATTTATATACAAGTGATGATATATATATATGTGTGTATATATATGTATATTAGGGTGGTCCTTAATATGGACATTTTCGAATTTCCTTGCTCCCAAGGGCACAAATGATTCCAAATTGGTAAAAAACAATTCTCTGAAAGGTTTAGCTCTTAATATTATCTTTTAGATGGAGCGCAACTCAATCAAAGTTTTGTATGGAAATAGCATGAAAAAATTTTCAAAAATTTTGCAGAGCGTCGAATTTTCAATAAAAAATGGCACGTATTTTTACTTTTAATTCATTTGTCGCTGAGTTGTACCTAAAAAAATTTGTTTTTAATTTCCAATAATTTTTCCATGCTATTTCCATACGAAGTTTGATTGAATTGCGCATTATCTAAAAGTTAGTATTAAAAGCTAAAACTTTCAGAGAATTGTTTTTCATTAATTTGGAACCATTTGAGCCCTTGGGAACAAGGAATTTTGAAAATGTTCATATTAAGGACCACCCTAATGTATATAAATCCCAATTAATTACTTAATAATCAAGAATAACTACAGATTGTATTTTTTTTTTGTCTTGAAAGGGAATATAGAAAAGTAATAGTATTAAAAAATATATAAATGAATATAAACAAATTAATAAATTTAACTGAAATCATGGAATGATATGTATTGTAATAAATAGCACAAACTTAACAAATTTTGTTAATTGAAACGTGGTACCTATTAGATAGTTGTATTTATAATTATTTATATTAACCTAATTAGGTATATATTAGTATTAATATATAATATATTAATTAATATATATTATATGATATGTTAAACATGTTTAATTAGCTACAAAAAGAAATTAGTTAAACTTTAAAAAGAACTTAAAACTTTCTTAGATGTGTAAAAATTTTGTAAAATAAGTTACAGCATCAAAAAATGAATAATTTAATATGAACGATAATTCTTAATTCAAATAACAACAAAAAATTAAATAATCATGAAAAAAATATAAAGAGCCCACAAACTTGAATGAACAGATGATTAACGAATTTGAATTTTCAAAAAAAAATAGTAAACACTAAAATAAAATAGAGTATAAATTAGCATAGAGTACAAAATTCGAAGAGTAAATAAAATTCTATACGTACTGTTTTAATAGATTACCATATGATGATATACTTAACAATTTAATATTAGTAATTATAACATTAAATTAACTCTAATATACTTAAATTATATTATTTGGTTATTATTACAATTTATATCGTTTAGTTACATCTTCCCAGAAACTCATTCTTTTATATTCAGGATTTTTACCAGTACTAATATCAGAGTCTATATTGTAATAATTAAAATCGTTTTTAGACATTGGTTCCCATTCTATTGGTAGAAGTTCTGTCGTATGAGGTGTAGGATTTCCGAAACAATAGTAAAATAAGTTTATATCACTTAACATTTGAAAAATACTGCACGTATTTTTTGCATATTCATATTTTAATTATCTTACCCTGATTTGATAAAATTGGTCCAAAGTTTCAACATCCGTTTCTGATTCTGAACAACACTGTCTGACTGATTTGTTAAATTTATAGAATTACTTCTAAATAAATTTGCCATCTCATCAACATGTGATGCTCCTTCCACACCCAAATCTCCGAAAGCCAACTTACTTGCAGTGTATTCATCAAAACAATATTCATAAAAATAAATATTTTCATTTTGTTTCTGAACCGTAAATTTAGCCTGGTTATAAATTCCTCGAGTAAACCAGTTGTCGCCCGCAATATTCACAAAACCTTGCAAGTCTTCCGAGATTGGTTTGTTGTTAAAGTAAAACTTTCTCATTTCTTCAGCTAATTGTACTGATTCTTCAGACCTCAAAGGTATTTCCAAATCGTTTGGTATAAATCGTTCAAAATCATCCTCGAACTTTTGTATTAAATCAGGATCAGCGTTGACGTAATTGAAGAAAAATATACCTTCAGCATTATTGAAGCCCATCATAGTAGGAACTTTGTTGAAATTGTTTGATTTAATTTTGTTGATTGGGGTTTCGGTTAAAAATGGTTTGTGGGTTTGAAATTCTTTTTCCACAGAAGGGACAAACACGAAATCAAATAGGAGTTGACCTTCGACTTCTGGAGGAATTTTTGCATTTAAAATATCATCTGCTGGGGTTTTTTGCAAAAATTCTAAGGCATCGAGAGTGTCTGATGTTGGATGGCCAAGAGATTCACATAAGTCGAAAGCACGCTGAAATAATAAAAAAAATATCAAAAATATGATGAATTGGCCAGATAATCAAATAAACTAGTGGTGTATGGCATCTTGTCTTAAGGCAAATTGCTGGAACTTCCCGTACCAAAAATTATTTTTTTTAAAAAGATTAACATTTTTGAAAGAAATTTACTGCGAAATAATTAGATTTTTGAGAAACTATAAATTTCTGAAAAAAAATACTTTTTTGGAGAAAAGACTTTGGAAAAAAAATGTTTTCTTTATTTTGAAATATTTTGGAAGTTCTGAACTTTTTTTCAAAGCAATTGTGCTGCTTTATCTGCATAGAGACAAAATATCGAAGCGCTTAAGCGCCGCGTCACCGTCTAACGGATAAACATTGGTACGGAACCCTTAGGAAAGTAAACAAAATTTATACTTATTGTTAAAATCTCTGTAAAATATTTAATAAATTTATGTGCATATGTCTCTAAAGATCATTTTTGACCGCCAAATGGCATTTTTTTTACTTTTATTACTAGATCTCCGAAACCGCTGCCTTCATGAAAATTTAATCAATTCTTCATCTTGTCAATACAAGTAAAATGTTTTTTGAATTATTAAAATCGGACGCTCCGTTCTCTTAAAAACTGAACTACCGTTTTTGGCACTTTTTGCCCAGTATCTTCGAAACGGCTAGACCTGCCTGTGCCAAAACCTAATCAGCACGTCTTCTTATTAATAGGATTCGAATATTTTTTGAATAATTGAAATCGGTTAAACCGTGTTCCCGAGATCGACGATGAAAATTTGTATTCGCACACACACACACAAACTCACACATACACATACATCCATTTTTTCTAAAGTATGCCGAAATGTTCAGAAACCTCTTAAACGTAATGATATATAAAACTTTTCATTTTCGATTTTTTTGCGATTATTATAAATTGCCCTACGGGAAGTTAAAACAATATTATAAAGGGTCGAACTAAAAATGTGTTATATATTTAAAAAATTAAATCATTATTGAATGTCTTAGATTTTCATTTTCCAAAATTATTAGTTATATATTGGCATAAATATCCCAAAAGTTTTATGTATATATAAAAATATTGAATTCTAAACTATTATATTTACTATAATATTTCTTTATAGATTTTAACAAACCTTTAAGTGTTTTCTTTGAAGAGCCCATGGATTTAGAGCACTGCCACTTTGCAATATTGCTCTTTGAAATAATCCTTTAGTAATATCAGAAAGGATCATATAATGAACACTTGCAGCTCCTGCAGAATTTCCAGCAATTGTTATCATTTCTGGATCTCCACCAAATGCAGCTATATTTTTGTTCACCCATCGCAATGCTTCCACCTAAAAATAATAAAAATAAAAAAAAATTATTTTATTTTATTTAGAGAAAATAATTAATATTTTTTTCACACAAGTAAATCAACATCGATCGTCAAAATCAATCTTTTAAATCTATTCTACATAATATCGACGTGTATATTATACAAGTTACTTGATCCAGCAGTCCCAAATTTCCAGGAGCATCCTCCAACTCCAAATTCAAAAATCCAAAAGCGCCAACACGATAATTAATTGTGACTACAATAACATCATAATCCATAAGAAAATCAGGACCAAGTTCATCAGAATTTCCTGAACCAGATATAAAACCTCCACCATGAATCCAGAACAAAACTGGTAGAGAGGAGTTGTCTGATGTTTGTGGAACGTATATATTGAGGTAAAGACAATCTTCATAGCCTGGTAATAAATTTGGAGATTTATTTATGAACTTTAACAAAAAGTGATATAAATTGAAGTAATTAATATTAATAGTACCTTCAATTTTGTTAGTGTACATGTTAACCTGTTTACAGATGTTTGCAGAATTTGTGACGACTCGAACTCCTTCCCATGATTTTAGTTTTTGAGGAGGCTGTAATAATATAGTTTAAGTTAACATATTTTTATATGATATCTAGTACATTTAATTTTACAATTATATATACAAGCAAATCATAAGTACAATGAATATACTCTCAATATTCACCTTAAATCTGAAATTTCCTACAGGTGGTTCAGCATACGGAATTCCAGTAAAACTATGATAAACTTTTCCATTATCATTAATAATTTCTTTTCCATGTAAAATGCCTTCTTTAGTCTCCACAACAATACTTGCATTAACATTCGCAAAATAATAACCAGCTAACAAATTTATTAATAATAATTTCAACATAATTATTTCTTGAACTCTTAATTCATACTGAAGCAAAAAATTGATTCAATAAACTAATATATGAAAAGGTTGAGTACATCTTTGCATGTTTGGATATAAAAACAAATAAATTACAAAAAACGATAATTTCATGGAAAACCTTGGTAATTGTCTCTAAATTATA